ATCTCATTGTATGAATTAGAAATTTGAATCTTTTGAATGGCATTGTTGCTTTAAATATCTCAATTCCAAACCCATCAAATCTCCCTAAATCTGACATATTTTGATGGTTAGATTTAAAAATTCCAGCTAAAAGAATTCTCACTAATGCCTTGTCTGTTATATCAACTTCTTTAGTAGAACTTTCATATTTGTCAGTACAGTTAACTTAGAATTTTATTTTTTTTCATTGCTATGATAATTAATCTCTTCAATCATTTTTGGAACAAAAAACATTTTTCTAGAGTGTCTGCTTCTTTCCCATATTCTTTTAATCCTGGCAAATAATCTTTTGGCCAGTTCTTTTACATATTTACCTAAATAATATTTAAGTCTATTGTTTGTTTCAACTACTAACATATCTTCATCTAATTTAGATTATGTATCATGATCACTATCATATAATTATCCTCACTATTAATTACATTGTCATAATCATATTAAATAATTTTATATTTAATTTTAGAATCTGCAAAAATCATGGTAAATGATAAAAATAATTTTAGAAATGGGTCAGCTGGTGATTATAAAAATAAAATAACTCCACCAGGAAAAATGTTTGTTCTTTTTCATACATCTCGTTCAAAATATTAGATATTTAAATTTCGTTTTAATAAAATTTTAATTTAAAAAAAAATTAAGAATTAAAATATCAAATTTGGAATATAGATTCTAAGATATATTTGATGAAGCTACTGAAGAATCCAGGTCATAATGATTAACCGTTTTTATGCAATATTATTTCTAGCATACCCACTGGAGTATTGAAGGGTTAAATAGATCAGTTAGAAGAAAATAGGAAAATGGCGAATGCTTGAGTGGGAAAACCCCAATTCGGTTCTGTATAAAATATTAGTTGAAGTATCCAGACCAATTTTGATTGCACATTTCTTTGTTTTCCCTATACCTGAATCAATATGGCAGAAAAAAATTTATAAAAATTAATAAACACAAAAAACTCTAAATTGTAATATGATAGTTGGAATAAAATTAAAAATTTTATTATTATAAAGCCTTAACCACATACATAATTTATAACGAGAATATAACATTTGCTCATAACTAAAATCGTAATCAAAAAAAAATTAGCATCTTAATTATGCCATATAATATAATATTTATTACGATTTCATAGTAAATGATTCGTTATGCATAAGAACCATTACAAAAAAAATATTTATTTTTGTGATCTCCTAAGCGGGTCATCCATCAATAATGGCAAATTTTTTTTGGCAAGGTTCAAATTTGGTTTGGGTTAGAAACGGCAAAGTCAATCAAAAATTTTACAAATCATTTATCTTAAAAAAATAGTTTTTAGAGAGTATTTAATATTTTTATTAGAGATCTGCGGAGGTACCATTTGTACAGCCCAGCCCGGATTTTTTTTTCGGCCCGCGTTTTATACTTTCAGGCCAGACCCGGCTTTTTTTTTTTTACCTAATAATGGCGATTTCAAATATTTGGTTAAAAAATATACCGCCCGGCCCGAATATTTTTTAAAAAATTTTCAAGCCCGGCCCGGCTATTTTAAAAAAAAATTTTCGGCCCTGCCCATGTAATTTTTATTTAGTCAAACTATGTCATAATATTGATTATCTTACTAATATAGGATCATTGCATGTCGAATTACACACCCCTCTCTGGTGTTGTTAAACGGCTCGTTTTGAGCCGATTTTTAAAAACGGCTAACTCAATATTTTTGCCAGTAAAATATTTCCCAAGCCTTGAGATTTTGATAATTTATGTATAGACCTTTGTTCCTTTTATGAGCAAAATCTTTAGGCTTGCGTAATATTTTTCTGGATGAAGTATTGAGTTAGCCGTTTTTAAAAATCGGCTCAAAACGAGCCGTTTAACAACACTACCCCTCACAGCCCATACCTTTTGATTTCCAATAAAAATTTATATGTTGGTTAAATTATGTTTATAGTTAAACCAAAAAAAATATTGATAGGTTTTTTATTTCCCGAAATATTAGAGGGTAAAAGCGCAAAAATCAACCATTTTTTTTTACTTTTCTATCAACACATTATTTGTTATAATATTATAAGAAATTAATTTTTTAAAAATATTAACAATAATTACATTTTTTATTATATTTTTTTAAAAATTTATATAACGATTTGATTAGTGATATATTTTATAAATATAACGCCTGATAATATATAAAATATATATATATTTAATTATTAAAATTAGAAGTATTATAATTTATACTTATTTATTTAGTTGTATATTATTCTACCTAATTATTCTTTAATTTATAATACACGTATTATAATTTAAATAATATTATTTTTGATTTTAATAATATTAAATTTACTTCTCTTTTTTTTTATCTACTAGATTACAATCTCATAATATTTTAATTTTATTTAATAAAGGAAATTAAAATATTATTTATAATTAAGTAAATGATTACTAATTAAGGTGGAGTGTAGATGTATTTAAAAATAATTTTATGATGGCCATCTTGTGTTTTTGAATAGTTTTTTTTGAAGGATTTATATAAAATAATATTTTATGCAGTAATAAAATTCATCAAGTCGAGTTATATATATAAAAAAAAATATCGCGAGTAATGTAGACAAATAGTTATAGATGTCGTTAAAATTAAATAAATTTCTGGCCGGGCTATACTTTTAAAATTAGACCCGACACAGAACACTAATATTTATTATATCTCCGCTTAAATATTTATTTTATTAATTAACATGATGTTTCTGACGATTAGCTAACGAGATTTCTTCGGGAGATAATATATATATGTAAATGTCCTCGGGCTGTGTTATTGGATTAACCGAAGAGGGGGATATCTGATTTTGATAAATTTAAAATTTCGTCGATAATGGCAAATTTGGAAGACGCCGATGGTCCATTGAGGTGTAAAATTTTTATTTTCATCTCTTGATTTGTTGCATTCTCGTCAATTACGAATCTTAGCCATCATTTATCCTCCTTCAAATGTAGTGTTAAACGGCTCGATTTGAGCCGATTTTTATAAACAACTAACTCAATATTTTATCCAAAAAAATGTTACGCGGAGCCTAAAGATTTTTCTCATAGATGACGCAAAGATTCGCACATTTATTGGTGGAATCTCGAGGCTTAGGCAATTTTTTTGGCTAAGATATTGAGTTAGCCATTTCTAAAAATCGGTTCCAATCGAACCGTTTAACAACACCGTTCAAATGTGACGCCATCCATTAAAATTCATTAAATATTTTATATTTATCAGCTGCACTTGAATATGATCATTATTTGGACGTATTCAATAAAAAATATCCTTTAGAATATTAATAAGTCATACGCAAAATATGATTATTTTTTTTATCTGGCCTAAAAAGACTAGCTTAGCTTATTAAGAAAAATTTTTTTTTACCGTACCTGTAGATTATCTATGCCAAGATATACTTGTTTTACATGACATATTATAGGATGTCGATTTTTATTTTGCAATATCTTCTAAAATTATGTTTTTTAAAACGGGTGGTGTATGGTCTTACTGAAAAAAAGAGATAGTTTCCTACAAAAATAACAATTGTTCCTTCCCCGAAAAAAAAAATTAATAATTGCCGCGATAAATTTTAGTAAGTTTCTAATAGATAACAAATAATTTGATTAGCAGGAAATGTAAAAAAATTGTTGATTTTGCACTTACGACCTTGTTATTTCAAGAAATATTAAAATCTTGTTTTCGACTTAAAAATATAACACGCAATGTAACAACCATAGATAAAAATAGGATATTTATTTAATTTCTACAATAAGAAAAGGATTTTAAAATATTTTACAAGCCACATTCGGCCATAAACATTGTCCATATTTTTAATCAGTGATTAACTTTTTTGGGGGATTAAAAAACAAACTGACCATTCACGATAATGCACCAAATATCGCCTTGGCGTTGGCCTTGAGAGAAAGGAAAATTTTAAAGTGTTCCTTGTTTCGTCCGTAGTTTTTGGCATATAAATTATTGTTACTTTATGACATTAATTCGGAGAAAAACGGCAAAATCCATTTGATCACCGGGTCTACATTTATTAATTTTAAGGTAAGAAGACGCCTTAAAAAAATAATAAATTAATGGGATAACAATAGTTTATCAACTGAACTGAACACCCAAATTTTTTTGAATTTCAAAAACGAATTTGATTCATGATTAATATATGCCTCTGACTCCAGATTCAAGCTCAGCTTCAAAGATTCACAAAGAATTTTTTTGCTAATTATGACCATGTTACTTAATATAAGTATAAACACGTTTAACCAGGGATCGCTCATTTTTCCCCCATTCTCGTTTGGGCATTAAAGAAAATACGTTCCCTATTGTGATTCGTCCTTCATTTTTTTTTACTTTGCTTAAATTTAAATTAAATTTTTTTTTTCGTTAAAATTTGGGACCGATGTCCCTATATAATGTGGTCTAGCAATTGGTACAGTTAAAGCACCTAATGTTAGCCAAATCTAATATGGTCTAATCGAACTTTTTACCTAAAAAAAGTCTTTAAAATGTCAAAAGGTTGAAAATTAATATTTTTAGAATAACAACAACCTGACTAATCCTTTTTCGAAATGCTAATATCGACTCTTGATGTCGCCACGTTATACCCCCCTCCCCAGTTAATTTTTAACCAATCACAAAATTTTATTGAAACTAATTTGAAAGAAGGCTTATTGTTTCTTACTTATTGAGGCCCTTGATATGTATGTTCTCCCTCAATCCTGATATCTCTGCGAGATTATTTTTTTTCTGATAATAATTTTGGAAGAAATATTATTTATTTTTTTGGTAGCTACCTTTAGGTTTATATATTATACATAAATTTGTCGATAAGACAATCGTGGTTGATTGCCAAAATCACTCTTTTTAATTGTCAATATTGACAATTTCAATATTCCTCTTTTTTTATTATAGTATAAACTTATTAAAAAAAATTTTCTTCTTCCACATATATATATAGAATAAAATGACCAATTTGGCGTATTCATATTGTGAAGAGACATCATTCTTCGACACACCCTATACCTTTGAAGTAAAATTTGTTGATTAATATTTTATTTTTAAAAAAAAATAAATTTTCATTTAATTTAAACTCGAGGTTGAATTTAATTAATTAATTCCCTTAATCAAGAAAAATCATTTTGAATAAATTTGAGCCTCAAATGGTCAAATTAGCTACAAACATAAAATTGAAATAATGATGACCTATTTATATTTTATTTTTTTATTAAAATTCTTTTTTAGCAAAATTTTACCCCATCAACCACTTTCGATCTATTTTTTGAATCACACGATGGTATTATTTCACAAGCTTTAGAATCAACTTTCCCATTTTCAGTTTTCTTTTCATTTTATATTTTATTTTTTTTTGAAATATAATTTTTATTCGATTAAAATATTATTTACAATTTTTTTAAACCTAAAATTGTTTATCATTTCGTAAATATAGGGCAACCATTTTGAAATATTTTTTAAAAAAATAAATATATAAATATGATAACTTTTTTTGTCACATGGTGTCAATTTTTTTAAAAGTAATCGATCTCTATCAGATTTAGGGTAGGCCTATTCATACGAATACGAGTAGTCGAGTATTCTCGTTCAAAGGGATCGATACGAATAATTCATTATTCGTTTTATATTCGCTCTTTTTGGATTGGCCCGTTTAGACACGGTACAAACTGCGCAATATGGACCTAGCCAATAGCAACATAAATGATGTTAAAAGGCTCGATTTGAACCTGTTAACTCAATATTTTACGCCAGCCTAAAATTTTTGCTTATAGACGGTACAAAGGTCTGGACATTTATTTGGGAATTCTCAAGGCTTAGGCAAGATTTATCTTGCTGAAATATTGAGTTAGCCATTTTTAAAAGTAGGTCCAAATCGAGTCTTTTTAACAACACTAAACATTAATTTAAAAAAAAACAATGTTAAGCCAAAATAGATTTAATTCATATCTATTGACATTAAAAATATATTTAAAAAAGAGTCAAGCCAAAAAAAATTTAATTATCTATTGACATTTATTATACCTCGCAATTTGTTTTTTTATTATAGCGCATTTTGCATCGAGTTTTAGAATTTTTGGTCCTGGAAATCTTTTATAGACATTAGAAATATTCCCTAGCTTAATCAATTTTTCTCCCTTCCCAGCATTTAACGTTTAAATTTTGTCCTATAGCGAGAAACTTTAAAATCGCGGTTGTTACTGTAAATCATTTCAAAAAAATGGCACTATGTGAGTCTTAAAAAAACATCTATATCAAGTGCTATAGAACAGCTGGTGTTTGTAAAATCTAAAATCCTATTTTAACACCTATACATCAATTTAATTTTTAAAGGACGATGAAAATGCTTTTAACGATATTTTGCTATCCACGTCACCTATCAATAATTACCACGCGGAAAATAAAACTCGCAAAAGGAATACTAGCTCATCCTCGATTCTTTCCCTCTCACTCGGTTCCCCCACCTTTTTTAACACGACGGGCGTAAACAAATACGATCATCATCAAATCGAACATTTCGAGAAATTTTTCGATTTTAAATGCCTGAGCAATGTGGGAGATTGCAATGGTAAGAAAAACGGGGATAGTAGTGAACGAAGAAACGACGAAGTATATAGCGAAGTCGATGATAGCACCAATGGTAAAACTAAATTCTTGTTTGAGTTTGATGTATAAAATATAAGTCAACTGAGAGTAAGGAGATTTATGGCAATTAGATATTGTCTCCTATCAAATTTTTTCTTTAGATCCAAGTAAGGAGTAAGATCCGGTAATCCATAATGATTATGTTGATTTTTCACTTTAGCTTAGTTTTGGAAAGACTTAGAAATTAGAAAATTTCAGGATAGTTTTATATTGATTAAATTTTTAAATTACACGTGAAATAAATAATAATAATTTATATCACTAGATTTCCAAAAATTTGACATATCCCAATTGCTGATGCAATTCGAAAGTAATTTATTGTTTGATTATATATTTTTTTAAAAAAATTTAAATGAAATGAAACTCATTTACAAACATGTTATAATACATATGTTGTTAAATCAAATTATTTAATTTAATAAAAAAAAAAATGAAAACAGATGACCACAATGGCAATAACTCGCGCAAAAAGGAAGAAGAAATTATATCTCTTCAATTGGACCTCGAAAATTATCTTTCTTCGAATTGCGATATCTTTTCGGCTTGTAGTAGCATTAACATCGACGAAAATAGTAAATTTGAATCTAAAAATTCTTCTTCCGCTTCTTCCCAGGATTCCTACATGTCCTTAGTTAATAATGATGCGGTATTAAATTCGTCAGGTGCTTCTAAATCTATTAAAAAGGAGAACTCGAAAGGCGTTGTTAACATCGATAAAATGAATATTGTCGCTCCAAACCCATCTCTAGTCATTGATAGCAAAACGGGAAAAGTCAACTTGGAAGGAATTACAAAGACTAAAATAGTCCAAAATATCGGTATGTTGCAAAGAAAAAACTATTATTTTTTAAATACTTATATGGACAATAAGCTTATTCAAATACGAATCCAATCATGAATTTGAATTATTGATATTTGTATGGCTAATAAAATACACCATTTTTGATTGGTATAATTCATTATTCGATGCTTTTTCGTTTTTGTATAAGCCTAATATAGATACGAATTTTAGGAAAATGGTTTATTATATGTTCTGCTCATGCCTTAAATTTATATATGTATGTGTATGCTAGAGGTGAGTTAGCAATTTTCAACTCCTCTTTTATAGCCAAATAATTTTATGATTATTAAATTTTTAATATAATTATTTCTTAATTTATTAGATAACGTTCAAGCGGACACCAAAAAAAATCCGAAATGTAATCACGTTGATCACGACTATTGCATAAATTCTGGAGGTAGAGAAAATTATACGGTTATTAACCATTCCACAAAAGTGGAATATGCCAACGGTGCTTCTTCTTACAACACTAACACTTCTCAAAAGTCTGTGTACAATGCATCATTTAACAATAACACAAAAATAGGTTTCGGGAAGCTTAAATCTAACCTTTTAAACATGACTAAGAACTTACCAACGCTTTTGCCTAAAAAAATTAACAGTCCTACTTCAAACTACTTTGGAAATTCTACGCCGGGTAGCATTTGCCATGACGGTATGCGTGATAGCGACGAAAAAACTGATAAGCCCACCAAATGCAACAGTAAAATATCGCTCCTCAATTGGTCTAGCCACATCAACCTAAACAATTCTGATTTCGGCAAAAAGAGTTTCGTATCCTTACTTTTTAACGCTGGGACATTTGCCAAACAAAATCTATCGAGCAAGACAGAAGGAATCGGCGCATACAATCATAATCACAGGAAACGGCAGATTTCGAATAGCATGGCCTGTGATGCCACCCTATCCGGGAAAAAATTTTCCTCTCAACGCTTAGCAAATATTAATGGCAAGCAAGATGGATCAGCCATCATCACTATAAGTGACAATATGGGCAAAGTTCTCGTTTTGAACAACAAGGACGATACAACTAATGTCATAGCTAATATTAAGCCTGAGTACATCATATATATTATATAAACCTATTATTTTTACATAAAACCTGTAATTGATTTAATCCGTGCATTAAATGATTAAAAATTGATAATATGGAAATGCGTAAGGAAAAATATCCTCTGATTGTATTTGAGTATGTTTAATAACTAACGTGAGGAGCTCCAATTTTTATATTTCTTCGTGCTTTCATTCATGTCTCAGACAGGGGTAAAGAATTTGGTAACCATATTTTAAAACTATTCAGATTTAAAATTAATCTTCAATTTCTGCTGGCTTTACAATAATTAGTGGTGAAGAATTTAATTATTAAAATTATTTTTCAAGAAATGGTGGTTTATTAATTTTGTTGTTTTTCTAATATATTTTGATCCATGTTGATTACTGATCCTTGAATTCCTGATAAAACTGATTTACCGATTAATATTTAGTTAACCTTACTTTAATGAGCCTTTTTATATAATTTCGGAAATTAGATGCATCGAAAAGTCCCAAATTGTAAAATTTTTAGTTTTTTTTAAAAAAATAGAGAACTCAGCTATTGAATGACACCAAATATATACAGACTGCTATTATTTTATTTTTCGACTAATCCTTTATTTTATTATTATGCGTGCTTTTTAAACTTTAAACGCTCATATCTGAGGAACTAATAGAGTTAGACCAATAAAATTTTGATTTCAGTAATCCTCACAAACATATTTAAACCAGTGTATAAAATTTTGATTTGAAAGATGTTACCTAAAAGATTTTGATTTCATGTGGTATGGAGGGTATGATCCATTATTTAGATTGAAAGTTGAGTTAAACCCCTATAATATACATCCAATATCTATAACCCATAGCTGCCTGCTCAAATAGATTGTCAAAAAACTAATTCTTAAATCTTGGTTAATTTTTTTTAAAATTAATAAAAAATAAAAGTTTTAATTAATATATTTATTTTTTTCATAGCCCTACCATCTACACTATATACAAAAAATCTTGCAATCAAAGTGACTCAAATAGTAATTGTTCGAACGTAGCAGCTTCCCTGTTTTCAACTTGGAACGATATTACATTGCCTGACTATAATGTTGATACCCTTACACAAAATTATGTCCAAGCAAAGTTAGTCACGTTAATTTCAATTTATTTTTAGCTTTTAGGGGGGAAGGCCTGGAAATTTTTTTTATATATTTTTGGGTAAGAGGCCCATTACCCCTAAAATAAGTGTAGTACTATTGAGGCAATTTATTAGAGCTATTACAAAGTTGTTCGGAAAATATGCATCATATAATAGTGCGAATAAAGAAAAATATTTAAAGAACACATATTGTGTTCTTAAAAAAAGGAGCATAGTTTTATTTTTATAGATTTTACCCATTACATGTAGTCCTAATTTCATTACTACTCATGTGCGAACACCAAATTATGTTTAGTAACAAAAAAATAAATTTTAGAAAAATCAGACATGTAATATCTATAATTTAAAGTAATCTTTAAAAAAAAAGATACCAAACCTTTCAATTTGCGAATTGTGATTTACATTAATCATTATTTATAGGTGTTAAACGGCTCGATTTGAGCCGATTTTTTAAAAAAACGGCTAACTCACTATTTTAGTCAGAAGAATTGTCTAACCCTTAGATGTCCAAACCTTTCCATTTATGAGCAAAATTTTAAGGCTTGTGTAATAATTTTCTGGTGAATTAGCCGTTTTATAAAATCAGCTCAATTCGAGCCACGCCATCTAATTAATCCAATTAATAATAGAGCGATTTTTGAAGTAATACGCTATTTCATTATCTTTATAAATATATAAATACGTTTTAAATATATGTTGAATTAATAAGAATCCTATTTTTTAATTGACTAAAATTATCAATTTAAAATATGACGAATATTCATTTGAATAATGAATATTTTTCAATTTTTATTCGGCCTACTCTATGATTTCTCCGAATTCTGCTTTGCAACATAATGAAAAAAATATCCCATTTGAAGATTTTGTTTTAAAGGATCAAATTTTAACTAAAAATGCTAAATATTTTTTGTAAAATAAATCTTTTTATAGGTAAATTCTGTAATCTTTTAATGAAATCTCTCAAATGCTTTTGTAATAAAATCTTAAAAGATTTTTGAATTTTTTTTTTCAAACTCTTACAAATGTATACAATATATGAGTGGGGATTTCCTTACACAATAATTTTGAGGATATTTTTTGCTTAAGCTTTTTTTTTCCTATTCCCAAATTCCCAAACAGCTACGAATGAGTTAAAATTAATTTTAATAATTTGTTTGAATTTAAATAATTTTTGAGATTATGTTAAATAAAGTTCAATTTATAAATTAATTTTAGTCTAGGATCATTTCGTATGTTCCTCATACAAATAAATTAATATATTATTTATTTTATTTTTAAAATTTTAGTTCGCAACAAGCCACGCTTCAAATAACTCCGCCTCATAAAGATGACGCTAAAATTGTAGAAAATCAAAAGGTAACGTATTTCAGAAATTATAAAAATATTTATTTTTTTACAGCAAGAAGAGGCTATTGTAAAGGTTCATCCTTTAAAAGTGGAAACGAGTTTAACGGAACTAAAAGGCCTGTTTAAAAAATTCGGTCCTATCAAAAATATCGAAATCATTAACGAGTAAAATTTACATTGTTTAAATTATGAAACGTGAATTTATTTTATTATTTAACAGTGCCGCATTCATAACCTACACAAATCATAGGGATGCCACAACAGCTATCAGAAGTAATTGTCAAATCATTTGGTTTTATAAATAATAATTAAATCTATAGGAGGAAAACATATTTCAGGGTATACAAAATTCACCGTTTCTTTGTTTTGCCCCCAAGATGATTCGACTCACTGTGGCGTTAAAAGTGTGACAAGTAAGATTAGATCCAAATATGATTTTTTTTAAAAAATTTCTTCAAATTTTTAAACTTTTTTGCTGGGAATTTTTTCAGCAAATATAATAGCGACTGATTTTCCATAATAAATTTACTACATCTACGGTTTTTGAGGGTTATCCATAAATCAGTCATCATTCCCAATGAGAAACCAGAAAGTTTTCTAAGAGATTTACTGAAGGGAGGCATAGCCACGAACCTATTTATTTTTTTTAGCGAAACGGCTCATTGAGCGTGTTATACTATTTTTAACAATTCATTGAACATCAAAGTATCCTTTTTAGTGTAATGAGATTTTTTTTTGTTTAATCTGAGCGATTAAATCAATAAACTCTTTATTTAAAACTTTAAAGTCTTTCATATTTTTATTTTTTAAAGGCGATTCTTTTCAACTCGATAGCGGTAAAAATTTTCTACCGCCAAATAACCCTGTTCCCACTTCCTCGCTCACTTTTATAACAGACGATATCACTACTATATCCCCTTCAAAATCACTGCACGAGGAACCCAATAAGACAAACCTTTCTCACGATGATTCAAGTCCAGTTAAAAACAACAAAAATAAACCACCCATATCCAATTTTAGGTATGCAACGCGGCACAGTAATATCAACAACATTTTGATATGCCAATAAAAATTTGAATAAAAAAAATAAATTCCCAATTCCTATTATATGTAACATTTGTTTCAGAAATATATTATATGTTTTTCTTTGTTTTTTTTAGCATTTATTATTATTTAGCGATATTTCCTATTCCTTCCAGCTAATTTTTTTTTTGTTATGCCAAAGATATAAGGATAATTTTAGTTTAAAATTATTAAATGCATGAGAAATATAACTATTATTTCATCGATGCGCTTGGCAATATTAGCGCAATTTCAATAAGCAATTTGTTTCCCTTTATTTTTTTGTTTCATTTTTTTATACAAACTTGTGATATATTTTGCAGTTAGCCTAATTGATTTTTTTTTCAATATATTTTTTTAAAGGTTAGTTTAATAATTTTAGCATATTTTAAAAAAATATTAATTATGAGACAAAATATGCTACACATGTTTAAATTATCAAAATTTTTATTTTACGGGGTCATCTCTTATATTAATCAAACACAATCCCTCCTTCCATATTATGTATATTTTTAATGTTTATATATTATGACTGTCAGCGATAATTATACCTCATCTAAAAAATTTATATTTTATTCATTTATACTAGAATTCTATTAGCCCAATTTTAGAAATATTTTTGTTACTATATTTTGCTGCTTAAATAATTTGTTTTGAAAGACAATTTAGTTCATTCGGTTGTATTTTTTAATGTACAATAAATCAAGTGAATATAAAAAATAAAAAAATTTGATCTTACATAAAGAGATAACAAATTTAGATTAAACATTACATATGCGTAGTAGCCAGGATTTTCTTAGGGGGGGGGGAATATATCATAAAATTCGGTTATATATAACTTTGTAATCCTCATTCTCCTGAGATATTCACAGGATAACAAATTTTAATAATTTTTTTAATATTTAAATGTAAATTAAAAATAATTTAAAAATCCGACTAGCACACAAATAAAAAAGCAGGATTAAAGGAGTGCAATAAAATTGTGGAAAAATAAGATTAATTACTAGGCCTAAGATTCTTTTATAGAATTGTCATCATCTTAAAATTATTTTAAAAAAAACCAGAGATAAACAAAATTGTATTTTTTTCGAAGATCAAAATATTTTTGCTAAAAATTTCTATGATCAAAGTCTTTGAATTTTGAGCAAATGTTTAACACTAAAAAAATTAATCTAATAAGCCAGATGGTTTTATCTTTTATTATATAAAATATAAACTGATTATTAAAATTAATAGGCGAAAATCGTGAAAACACTAACAAGAAATCGCAGTTGCTAAAAATACAAATTGATTTCTTTAATATTTTTTCACAAATTGTAAAAATAAAACTTGATTTTTTTCTTTAACATTTTTCTAATTTTTTATATTTTTACTTGTCTTTAAACATGAATAAATTTTTCTAAATGAAACCTTTAAAAGATAAGCTAAAGTGTTGCAATCCATTGAATAAACCAAACCATAAAAATTTAAAAAGAATTTACGTTCTCTACTACCTTGGATGCTTAATATAAATAGTGATTTATAACTTCAACAAAAAATATGTAATTCGTGCCGCTACCAGTTAAGTAAAATTGGTCCACACATTCCCGAAGAATTTATATCCCCAAGTAAAATTCTTTCATTTTAAAACATAAGACAGGACGCTAAACGAAAGCATTTAAACTCGTCAAGGATTTTTATAGTTCTGATGAAATAAGCCGACCCATGCGTGGAATAAAAGATTGTGTATCTGTTATAGGCGAGAAAGAACCAGTCCAAAATAGACTAATATTAAATAATCTTAAAGATATATTCAAGTTGTTTAAGGAAGAATACTCAAATATATCAATTAGATTATCTAAATTTGCCGAACTAAGGCCAAAAAACTGTATTTTAGTTGGAGCTAGTGGCACACACACTGTTTGTGTCTGCGCCATTCATCAATGAAATTAATGACAAATGTAATAGCTGAAATTACAGCAGGAGAAGATCAATGTATAAATTTTTATAACTATCTTTGGCGCAAATTATTTGTAATCCATCTCAGCCAAAATGTTATTTAAGAAATTGTGATCAATGCCCTGTTATAGAATCTCTTAAGGGCCAATTATACCAATTGTTTCAGAGAAATCGTATAGAATATGTCATGGAAAATTTAAAAGATGGGGAATTTTTAACAAATCAAGATTATTCTAAAAATTATTCCTTTATTTTACAAGATGAAGTTCAGGGATTTCATTGACAACGTGCAGGCCACTATACACCCATTTCTAGCATATTATAAATCTGGAGAAGATTTAAAAAATATAAATTTTGTTATATCCGTATCATTAAACTATAATACTAATGCAGTCCATCAAAATTTTTTTATTAATTTCTTATCAGTAAACCAGAAAAAATATATTTTTCAGATGGAACCGTGGCAAAAATTTTCTGAACATATGCCTTCATTCATACATACGATTTTAATATTCCTGCCGAATGACATCTTCGTCACTGCTCACGGCAAATATTCATGTGACGGTATCGGAGGAACTGTCAAAAGATTAGTTTGCCAGAGCTAGTCTTCAAAGGCCAAATAAAAATCAAATCCTAACCCCATTAGAATTATATAATTATGCTAAAAAAATATTAATGGTATGCAATTTGAATATATATCCTATCTAGAATACATCGAAGGAGAATTAGCCCTTCGTAAAAGATTTAATTCTGCATTGCCCATACACGAGACCCAAAAAATTCACGGGATTATTCCCAAAATAAACTAAAAACCAAAATAATATTCAAATTCCAAAAAATATAATATAAAACAAGTTTCCTTTATAAATGAGAAAATTATATTTAAAAATATTAATGTTTATGTAACATGTGTATATGATGACAAATGATGGTTAGGATTTATAATCGATAAAAATGATACAAATGAAGAAATAAAAATCCAATTTTTACACTCTTGTGGACCTTCAGCCTCATTTAATTTCTTCTGATAGATGATATTTTAGTGTTGCCCAAACCTAATATTCTCTCACTGGTCGATTCTTATACTCCCACTGGTCGAACATATATATTATCTCCTGAAAGTCCACGGAAATTACCTTCGTTATCATTATCATTAAAATTTAAGCTTCCTGAATCTGGCCAAATCTCACAAGCCAGCCAGGCTTTGTATTTCTTTAGATGAAGTAAGATTTAATTAATTTATAAACTCTCTTAATTAGGCAAATTTTGTGAATATTTTAAAAATATCATGATCTGAATGACAAATAAATATATATAATGCACATTGTAATCGATTTAGTTTGTTATATTTACATTAAAATATTTTTAATCAATAAAAAAAATGAATTTAACATATTAAAACTATTATATATAGCGCCATCTAGTTTTTAAAAGTATAAAAATCGCAATATTTTTTTAAATAAATATCCAGCCATGCTAATTGTTGAAGAAATTATTAAAAAATTAGTAAACGGATAATATTTCTAATGCGTTAAAATTTTGTTTATGATCTAATGGGAACATGTATAACCAGCCTACAATTTTTTATCGAAATCGAAAGGGGTCGGCCGAAAAGTGATTGATTTGACATGGAATAACCCCTTAGTCTATATATAGTCATAAAATATTTTTACAAGAGAGGAGGTTATTTTTAATAAAATAAATAAGCCTGGAACAAATATGAAATATATTTTTATTAGTTTATATAAAATATAATAAATTACGTGCATATACATTAATATAAAAGCATGGTAATAATTTATTCCAAACAAGTATAAGAAATATATTTATAAAAAGTAATAGACATATAGTTGATATTCCTCTATTATATAGAATTGGTTAGAAAATACTAGGTAAAATTCTACTTTTACAGACATATTTGAAAGTTAGAGAATGTATTATAGTTAATATTTTAACAAAATTTACTAATCAATGCTCTTGATAATAAATATAGCCATTTGCATTCAATTATTTAACGCCATCTATTTATTTTAAATAAATATGATATTAAAAAATAATCTTCATATTATTCATCCCACAATGTCTTTAAAAGATATTTTCTAATGTCCTTATCAATATTTTATAGTTTTCATTGTCATATGATAATTTATAAAATTAGATATACTATAAATGTACGACATATAATATTCTACTATTTGTATTGTACTTTAATATTTTTATTTAATTTATGATTTAATTTTATAATAGTTTTATAATTATATTTTACTTTTATTAAATTAAATAAATTAAAATTACTCACTTTATAAAAAATTATATTTGATATACTATATTATTTAGTAATTTTATGGATCTATTATTAATAATTATAATATATTTCACTTTAGTCTTACTGAAACGGAACTGGATCTTCTTTATTTGGATACGGCCAGTTTCTTATTTTACAAGAATCCGTTTTAAAATTTTCTATGAAACGGTTTCTAATAACGCAAATAATTTTATCTCTATATTTGTTTAAAATTTAATAAACCCGAAGTGGAAAAAAATATGAGTTATAACCAACTAAATCTGATTTACACTTGTCATATTTTTGTTTAAACAAAAACTCGTCCAAATAAATATAAATTTGGTTCCTGTTATATCTTAGTGTTGTGAAAAGGCTAACCCAATATTTTAGCAAACATTGCTACACAGTCTTAGAAAAAATGGTTTTTAATTTGAAATCGCGAGATAATATTATTTTGGCTAAATATTTTAATTTAAAAATAGGCTTGAGCCGTTTAATAATACTACTTGTAAACATATGTATTTCTTATTTAAATTATAAAGGAAAATTTTCTAAGTGAATCATTCCAATTCTGATTGCTGTTTCATACGAATTACAATATTTTGAAAATCCGATCTCCGCCATAATATTTTTATTAATCTAATCTGGAAAATTGGAATAGATATTAAAATCCAGACTGGGCCTGAAAATTGGACTTCTGCATAAAAATGTGCAAGTGAGTTTTTTTTTGTTAAAATCAATCTAATTTAGCGTTGTTAAAGTTGTGTGCTACATTTCAAAAAAAAAATAGCGATAGTGGTAGTAGAGGTCGGTAAAAAAATATTATTTTTCAAGGCCCGAGCCCGGATTATAAAAAAAAAAGCCCGAAATGGAATTCAAATCCTATCCGAACTAAATATTTTAGAATATGAATATTATAATATCCAAAAACAATTAAAAATTGTGTTATTTTAAATAAAAACTTATTTGACACAAAATTTATATTAAGTTCCATTTTATTTTAAATATGTTTTCACTTATTTTATTTTTAACTGGTTTCATTTGTCACCTTTTGTATAACCTAAAATACATTTAAATTAGATATAGTATTTATCCCTCTTTTGTTTCTCCTTAAATACATAAAAATGAAATATAATTTATATAAATTCACTCTTCTGACTTAATTACATTAAAAATAAAACATACTGTTTTTGTGTTTTCTTTTAAATAGGGGTTTTCCATACTTTTGGATTCTTTGTTAAGGCAATCAATAATTATTATTTAAATCCTGGGTATTGCTTTTAATCAGGAAGTATAATTTGAGTTCCCAAAAGTGTGTGTGTGTGGGGGAGGGGTTGGTTTTATCCCCGATTATGTAAGATAAAACTAAGACAACTCTATTTCGGAAAAACGTTCTGTGCAATGTTATAGATTATAAATAACTCAAATATTGTTTGTACAATTTTGTTCCAAATATTTATACTAAATATAAATCCATTTTATTTGAATATTTCTTTAACAACTCTAATTAATAAAGGTAACTTACAGAGTAATGCCCTATATAATAAAGGAAAATTTTCCGATGCACCTCATGGAATAATGGATAAATTTTTAATTCTTCGGTTAATCTTTCATGAAGCTATCTGATATCAGATTATAGATAAACCCTATCCGGTTTTAATTATGATATATATTTAAATATTGCCGATGTATTTATAAAATAATATATCAAATGGATATCAATGGAAAGTACAAGATTTCGGCCAAATTCGAGGAAGAAATGATTTAATGATAATAAAAATTAAACCTGACCAGAAAATCCTAACAAAATATTGTTTCAAATCATAGACGTAATCAAGATACCACTCTTCCCCCCCTATATATTTTATTGGAAGTCTTTATGTAAACTTATTGAAACTTTGGCTATATATATTTTTGCAAAAATATTTTGGGTTTTCACATCAAAATTTTTAGAATATAAAAATCTTTTTATAAATTTTTTATAGCTGTTATCTTATAAACTCATTAACCTCTAGTAATATGTGCCTGACTTTAAACAACATATACGTTATCTTAAGATAAGAATCAGATAAATGAGTGTCTAAATTAATTTCCATCGAATGGACTCTTCATGTATTACATAGAGGTTCTTGAAAAATGATTTGTTATTTACATCTTTATTATTTAGGTAAACTACAATTTTAGGAGTAAATAAAAATAGTATTTTTTCAATAAATCATCTCCTGCATGTGTAAACAAAATCTTATCATATAATAAATGAGGATTATAAACGAATATAAAAGTAACTTCTGTTTGTTGACAGTCAAATACTATGGAGCATCTTTTCGCAATCTTCCCTTACCTAATAAAATTAGATAAAATTTAAATCCTGATAAATAAAGGGTTTATATGAAAATCAGAATGTCGAATATATTTTTAAATATAACGATTTAATTCCATTCAGTTTCTAGTTAAAATAGTTTATATCATTCAGCATATTCTTGAACAATTTTATAACGGTTCGTTTGGACGTAGTGATAATATAGTGGTAAAGATATTGCCATATTTTCAGTGTTGCTAAACGGCTCGTTTGGAACCGATTTTTAAAAACAACTAACAATATTATCGCCAAAGTCTCGAGATTTCATTTATAGATGTCCAAACCTTACTGCCGTCTATTAGCAAAATCGCCAGGATGGCGCAATATTTTTCTGGATAAAGTATTGAGTTAGCCATTTTTAAAAATCGACTAAGATTGAGCCGTTTAACTATTTTCACATCATCTAATGAGGTTTGCTCTATCGTTTGCTTTACAATTTTGAAAATAATATACATGTATTGTCCTAGATTTTTATAAGGCAAACAAATAATTTATAAATGTCTAGATTTTATATTTAATAATGTAATTATTCAAAGAAATTTTTTTATTCCATTTCCATAAATATAAATATTTAATAAATTAATACATTTAAAAAATGGCAGGTTCATCTTATGGATCTAAAAATTTGTAAATATTACGTTCGTCGTCATAAATTGAATTATAATTGATATATATGAATATTATGTAAATAAAAAATAAATAGGCATAAAAGATATATCAATATAAAGATATATCTCATTCTATTCTGTCTAATCAAACCTATGTAATTATAATACTTTAATTATATTTCATCATTTTTTGTCTCACAACTCTAGTTATCGGTAAGAGGTAAGTAAATACTTCTCTTTTAATTAATGTGGAGAGGACAAGAGGAGTGATTTTACTCATTGATGGTTAAAATAATAACAATGAGTCGGTTTATAAATGAAATCTTATTGTAAAAATCTCTTCAAGTAGTTCTTATCTTTAAAAATTTCTTAATAAATTGCACAGATTTGATATAAATTAATAAAAATTCTTAGCGTTCAAATGTTACAATGTATAAAAAATTGAAATCTGATAAAAAAATTTATCACTCACACGCTTAAATGTTCGGCTCTAAACTTATTCTATTGATTTTGATAATGTGCAGCAGCAAATATCAAAATATAACAAATTTTAATCCTTTTATCGTTTAATTATGACAATTTATACTAAATTAGAGAGATCTGATTTAGATAAAAAGGAACCGAGAATTGAAATATTAGTTGACACTTTTTTTGCATTATTTTATGAATGTGAAAATTTATCTACTATAAACAAACCATATATTAACTCATTTCTCAAATATGGTATGATATTACTAAATTAACATTTTTTATTTTGTCACCCTTCTAGTTAAATCTAGAGCTCAAGATATAGAAAAATCTTTAATATCTATTGATGATTTTGATGTAATTCAGATCATTGGAAAGGGGGCTTTTGGAGAGGTAATTCTAAATTTATATAAACTTATAAATAATACCAAATAAAATTTAAGAAATATTCCTTATTAAAGATTGATTTAGTAATTTGTCAGTAATTGTTTAATTTGATGTTATTAGATATCATGATACAATGGTATCTCTAATTCCAATATCAACAAATATGTTCAATTTTAGCTGATTCTATTGGCAGATATTAAAAATGATAAATAACTTAAATGATTTAAAAAAAATTATAAACCAATTCTTCAACTTATAAAAAAAATAGATGTTTTTCCAATTTATCTTAATTATAACTTAATTTATTTTTCTTTTGTATAATTATAAAAGATGAATAAAAAACATAATAATCTGATGGATTTTAATATTTTTTCTTGAATAAACAATAATTATATGATTATTTTTTGGTTTATCAGCTGATATTTTAATAGGTATCAGCCAAGAAAAGTTGTTTACAATACATTTTTGTTTCACAGAATTTATAAAAAGAACCAAATAATATTTATTTTTTTAAAAATAATAATTTTATATTTTATAAATAAAAAAGTGTATAATATTATAATTTCTTCAAAGCAATAATATTTACTTCTTATTCTTACTAACAAATGACATATTTTGTCTACCTGCAGCAAAGCAGCTGTCATATTTGAATACATATCCCATATTAATTTTGGATAAATGGTGTCACCTCTTTTCGAATTTAAGCAATTTTGAAATATTTCACATATTAATTGTAATAAAATTGAAGGTAACCCCCCCCCCCCCAAAAAAAAATGTAAAAAGTAAGATTGATTAACAATTGGAGAATAGATTGAAATAGAAGATAATATAAGAACTGTTGATAAGCAGTATGAAACACTTTAATAAGTAAGGATGTGAAAGATTGTAACACTATTACATGATTCAACATATTTATAAAATAATAAGACATAAAAATTAAAAAGCAAAAGTTATAATAAGAAAATAATTCTTTCCAAAAACTGAAAAGTGATTTATATTCACAAAATCTCAAATATATATCCTTCCTTTAAAATTTACATCTTCAAAATATCCTCATTTACATAGTCTATAATATGAAATTGAGTAATATTGTAATAATTCTTCTAATTTGAATTAATGTTTTACCCCATTTTTAAAATATTTTAAATATATATATTAACAATTAAAAACTATACATATATACTATGAAAAACATAAATATAAAATAATATTAAGTGGGGGTGATATACGATTATGAAAAATATAAATATAAAATAATATTAAGTGGGGGTGATATACGATTATGAAAAATATAAATGAGTCACAAATAACTTACAGTAATTACATTTAATTTAAAATATTCCAACTTGTATTATACTTTTAAAATGTCTGAAAGTGTAATTAGTTATTTACTTCAATATCAATTTAAGTTTATTTTCTCTGTGCATTTATAGCAAACTACTGCATTCACCATTATTAACGGATTGGAATTAAAGTCTATTTTATAGATAATAAATGGCTCAGCTTATTTTTTTTACTAGTTATTAAGAATCTATACTTTATATAAAATTTTCAGTGGGTGAACCAAATTTTATGAATTCTATAAGTCTTCAATTATATGATGGCAAATTGCCTCAAATCTAATCATCGCACTCAACTCATAATTTTGGAAAAACGATTCAATAAATAAATCCCTATAGAGATATTTATTTTAAAGCCATTAAATATTTAAAAAAGAGAACTCATTTATTTATATACCATAGCAGAGAAGGAAAAAGGAATACTTCAAAAATATTTTACTATATATTATCTTATCCCAGAAAACATTATTAATTTAGGTCAAAATTTTTATTTTAAATATTTTTTTTTATAATAACTATTAACATATTTCAATATTAATTTTAATGTTTTTTTAAAAAAATTTCACCTTATATAAAACATTTATATCTTAAATTCATATTTCCTGCCCCCCTCCCCACCCCACCTTACACTCAATTACCATGAAGTTTGATACTTTGCCTCATGTAAACCAATAAATGATTTAACCTTCTATTAGAAATAATAATGTCAAAAGATTTTATGGTTTTTGAGCAAACATATTTTACATAAAGTTTAGTGGGACATGAGATATAATGCCGTTATTTGAATCATGGACAGAAATTTCCCGCACAAATGGACCAGCATCCCAAATCAAAAAGACACCGAAAAAACGTAAATTGGGGTATTTTTGTCCGGTGTCTTTTCTTTTTCGTGAATGTTTTATCCCGGATTCTTTTTATTCCAAGAAAGTTCTATCCATGATTCCCGCTATTTATGTCCACTATTGCCTTTAATTCATACGTGTAAAAAATGTGACAATGCCATTTGGATGAAGGGAGGGTTGTGATCACTTCTAGGGGACATTTTATAGCTACCTTATAGAGTTGGGTCTTGGAACACTTGGACAAACTAATTTAGTTAATAAGCTTAAATAAAACCAAAAAAAAATTTCGATAAACTTGCTAAATATCCCATGGTTATATAAGTTGTTTTTGCCAGGTGTATCATTAAAAAAATAAATATCATTGATATATAATCTTAACAAAAAAAATCTAATTATTTTTAATAGATATTAATTTAAAGTCGAATTTTTTTTTTGCGCTTATATATTTAATTAATTTGTATTTAGGAATGTATCGGACCTCGATATTCGCTATTTAGATTCGGCCAGTTTTTGATCGGGTCCGGATGTTTCCTTTTTTTATTCGGTCGACCGGGTTATTACGCAAAAAAAACCTCGAAGAATAAAATATAGAATACTGTCGATTAACGATATTTGTTTGGGTTGTTCGTATGAGTTCGAAAACGCGAAAATCAATAAATCGAAAACTGGGGAATACGTCAATATGTTTTTTTCCGACATTGTCTTATTTTTTCAACTTTAAATCATTTTTTTTGAGCCCCCTTTTTTTTAAAAAAAATTAAATTATTTTTATTTTACCTGGAAATGTATTCCATCATGTTTGGAAATAACCTACCCAATAAATTTCAGACAATTTCGCTATGAACATTTTGAACTTATTAAAATATATATTCGTTTTTTTCCATATATTATTTTATAATAAATTATTAAATGACTTAAAGGTTTTAACTTGCAAAAATTATTTTCAATTGATAAGATAGGGTAGGGTGTAGTGTTGTTAAACGGCCCGATTTGAGCCGATTTTTAAAAACCGGCTAACTCGGTATTTTAGCCAGAGAAATATTGCCCAAGCCTCAAGATTTCGCTAATAACCTTTGTGCCACCTATGAGAAAAATCTTAAGGCTTGCACTGAATAAAACATTGAGTTAGCCGTTTTTAAAAATCGGCTCAAAATGAGCCTTTTAACAACACTAATAGGGTGTTCTAAACATGCTGGAATACATTTCCGGTAATATCCGACCTTTTAAATTTTTAAAGAAAAAAAACGCGCTCAAAAAATGATTTAGAAGTTGGAAAAATAAACACATTTGCCGGAAAAAAACACGTTGACGCTAACACATATATATTTGGAGAAAATTTCGATAGATTTTTTTATAAATGCATGGGGAGGGTAATAGGAAATCTCTAAAGATGGAGAATCTCCTTAAATATTCCCAATTAGGAAATGTTTATTTAAGAATTTCTCAAAAAAATTTCATTTTTTAGACATCTTTAAAAAAAAACTCAATTGATATTTTTAATCGAATATTTAAAATTTTAATCAAAATTTAGGGTGCCGCGCGGCTTAGTTTTTTAGGGAATTTTTTTAATGATTATTTTTTCGGGAAAATTTTTTATTTAATTGCATCGGATTTTTTTTTTTAAAATTATTTATTTGATACTTAACGATAAACTATTTTCAAAATCGGTGACCAAAAAAAAGGCTCTAACTTTTTTTTTATATCCGCAAAAATGAGTTCTTACGGGAGGCGTTTGACGTAAAGAAAGAAAAGTTAAATATTATATGGGAAATCATCGTACCCAAAGATTAATGAATAAGATTTCTATAAACCAATTTTTTTTTTATATTCCAAAAACATACTACTTACTTTTGACTAAAGGGCGAACTCAATATTTTAGCCAGTAAAATATTGCCTAAGCCTCGAGATTTCGATAATATAGAGCAAAATCTTCAGGCTTGCGTTAATATTTTTTTTCTGGGTGCAAAACGTGCCGTTTAACAAGACTACTTTTTGAAAACTATCGAAAATGTTTAAAATTATAAAATAAGGGAGGAGGGGGGGGGGAGGGTGGGATGCAAAATAAAAAATAGACACGCCCCAAAATTTACGTTTTTCTCCTTTCTACCCTAATTTATCCATTCTTATCTAAATTCATTTATCCTATGTTTATTTTTACTTTTATATTTTTAAATGGGTATAAAAATTATTTTTTTTTTTACCTATTTATTTAATGTTTATCTTTATTACGCCAAAATCAAGGTTTGTTTTTCTGTCTTTTTTTTTTGATTATGGCATAAAACACAAACAATTTTCCTTTCATTTTTTATATATATTTTTTTTTAAAAAAAAAGTAAGAAGATTAATTACGTTTCGACATTATGTCAATCCACCATTTTTATTTTATTTTTTATATTTATAGAGATGACATATAATACCTTGACTGACATTCATTCATTAAAATGCATTTTTAAGCGTCGTTAAAAGCAAATCAGCTGGACTCGCCATTTTGGTAACACATATAGTAATTATTCTCATATTAAAAACTACTATAAATTTATAACTTGCTTCCTTATTATCTCGATGATCCGGTAATTCTTTAATAAAGTTTGCATTCAGATATAGGAATAAATTAGGCTCCCGTTTAAAATTTTAATAAGGATTAATGTAACCAAGATGGCGTCTCCAGCTGTTTTGCATTGATGTAAACTTTTAATGAATCAATCGTCAGTGTAAGTGTTAAATATGTCATTGATTTATAGTAAAAGAGAAAATTGTAAAGAAAATAAAATATTTATGCTCTTTTCGTCTTATTGGTTTGCTGGTGTAATTGTGCCAGGGATTT